GACATCTTTCCACAAGCTATCTCTCCTCATCCTTCCCTCTTTTCTAATAAATGCTGCCTCTTTTCTTGTCCTTCTCTCTTCCTCGCCATATCCTGCCAGCCTCCTCTCCGTCTCAGAATGCCTTGGTCTCACGAGGTGGACAGATCCTGACGGGTTCTAATGAGAACACATTCCACTAGAATAACTTTGAGATCCTGCGTATTTGCACATGTTCTCACACACACACACACACACTTACCGTGCATGGTGTGGTGAAGGCCTCTGTGTGTGCATGTTACATTCCTGACATTGTTAAGGGAATTATGCTGCATGACCAGTCAGTGTGCATTTGTATCACTGCGGCCTTGCTCCCATGATGAAACATAGATAGTCGCACAGAAGCATTCACTTTCAAGAGAGACATTTCAATTCTTCAGGGGGACCGATACAGCAGTCCTCGTATAAAGCCGACAGGAAATGGACAAAAACAAAACAGTCATGGTGGTCTGGCTCTGACAATTTGTTTCTTATTATTAGATGTTTGCTATGCTTATGATCTATGGAATTATACGACATTCAGCAAACAGCCTCCATGTACTGTAAATAGGAGAACGCTTTAGCAATAGATTGACTTTAAACATGTTTGAACGCATATATTGAAGTGTGCAAGGGTAAAGGCTCATCAGTAAACTTGTGTAAAACATCAGGATGCGTTACCATAGAAGTTGTGAAAATATCCTTGTCAAGACAAAATTCATATTCATTTATTATGGACTGCTGTGAAATAAAGCAATTCGGATTCATTGTGCTATGAAAATAAAGTGCTTTTTGGAAAGCAGTGGTCAAGCATTTTTGTCTCAAAAGCATCGTTGTGAATTCATGTTTAAGTGGGATAAAATATTCATACTTTGATGGGGCAAGGAAAGTTTAAGAGCTGTATGAGACTGAAAGAGGAGAACACAGTGTCTCTGTGTCTGTTTGGCTGTGATCCATGTCAGTCTGGTTGGTGCAGTGGACACAGAGTAGGTGCTGTTTCCAGAGTTTGCATGAGCATGCACAAGCAGATGCATCACACTACTCCCTTGAAAGTGGCTAGTGGGGACTTTTTAATCAAACATATTAGTAATCAGTAGTGCAACGAGAAGGGGACAGATTGTGTGGAGAGAGACTGGGTGGGTGAAAACATACAAAGAGGGACAGAGTGATTATGGCCAGATGATAAAACCAGTGATGAGAGCCACGTAGAGATAGAGAGAATTAGAGATAGTTGGGGGCAAGAAAAAGGGCAGGAGGCAAGAGGGAAAAAACAGAATGGTGAGAGAAAGGCTGGGGAATCAGACTATGGGGGGGTGAGTGAGGGGAGTAAGAGGAATCATCAGGGGTAGTTAGGGATAAGACAAAATGGCAGGAAAATAAAGGGAGTGCAAAGGAGTGATAGATAAAAGAAAAGGAGGAAGAGGGCAATTTAGACAGGAGGACAGGTGAGACGAGAATAATGGCAATTAACAACTCAACCTTGTTTCCTAACTCTTTCCTAGCTCAATACATTAGAAATCTACCAACGTGGACAAACACACATACACACACACACACAACCAAGACACAGGCAGGTGCACACACATAAATACACAGGCGCCACACAAAGCTAAACACCAAGTATTGAGCTGATCTAATCTGAGACAAACCAGTCCGCTTCCTCCAGCTCTAATCCCATTATTACCACCTCCTACTGGGAGGCATTTCAAACACACACACGATACAGGGCTACACAACAGGCAGCAGGTTTACTTGTGTGTTGGTCACAGTGACTCAGTTGTTGACAGTAGAAATGCTGCTTTCATCAATGCTACTGTGGAAGGAGTGTGAGGACATGTCAGAGTATTCTTTTGTTTGCTCTGGATCATTCACAACCAGTCAAATGTTAAAATTAGCCACTTTGATAGAGTCTAAATGGGCATCCCTTAGCCAAGGCCCCAGTCAAATATAATAGGGTGAACTATTAATGCTTCAAACTCAAACAAGAACATTTGGCAACAGAATGCAATTGAATACTTTTTGTTTTGCATGGTATATATACACAGTATATATAATGAATTATATTGAATAACAGGAAACCCTTGTCTAGCCTTGCCCTGTGTGGCCCTGGAGGTGCAACCAGACTGATGTTTATGTCAAATGGCGTGGCATGCTTAATGAAATGAGAAAAGGCTAATCTGATTCTGTAACAGACAGGCTCTATAGGGACATCCCATTAAGCCACCCACAGTGTCACTAACTCCTTGACTTTTCACACTGGTGCCGAGAGTGTTTACAGCATATACCCTGTCCTTTACGTAAAGAATGATGAATCGCAATGGTGCAAAGCAGGGCAGGAGGGTTTGAGGCTGATTAGATGAAAGACTTGCCCTTTTTTAAAAAAAAAAAAAAAAAAAAAAAATGAGGTTCGAGTAAACTTAACAGTCATGAATACTGTACGACTGGGCCAAATATCTGTGCATATAAAATACACTTCAAGTACAGTCGCACATTAATACACAAATATAGCTGAAGTACAACAAGGACAAATGCCACTTACTTTTGTCCAGTTATGCGAGTGCCTGTGATTGTGTATGCACCGGTGTGCTGATGCGAGTTGCATGCGTCTGTGTCTGTTCATTTAATTTTGTCGGACCGCTATGGATTTTAGCATTGATAGCGCTGTGCTAGCCAATTAAGTGACAATGGAATGCAACATAAAACTGACAGACACTTTAGGCTAAATTTGCATAGGAGAAAATCCAAGGAGATTATAGTTCAACATGCAATCATTTGGGAAACCAGAAATGCATGAACATACTGTATAAATTAACATGCGTATAAATCCATATACAAATGGGCAAACAGAATAAATATCTCCTTAATGCTCTCTTTTAATTTTAGGAAACATACCTCATGGAAGCATAGAAGCAGAATTGCAGTGTGCACTTGAAACTTCACACAGTCTGGTTCAACCAGCCTATTGACTTTTAGCCTGGAAGTGCGTTTACCTCGGTAGGATATAAATGTTAATCTTTTTCAGTCCATGCCTCAGACCATTGGTCACAATGACATTGTCTATTCCCCTCAAGTGTTGCACATCTAGTCCCTGAGGAGGGATAAAGTCAGCACTCAGATTTAAGCTCAGCGGTGGAACTGCTGGTCCGATTCAACATGCTGTTCGTATGACTTTCTCTCCGTCGTGCTCTCATCCCACTGCTTGCCCCCCCATCTTGCAAATCCTACCCTGATCCTTCTCCGCACTTTAATATCCCTGTTATGTTGTACTGTTGTCTTATATTGTGCAATGCAACATATATCAACATGCAATAGATAGTGAAGTGATTGATCAAGTTATTGGATTTTTATAAAAACAATACATATAAAATGTGTATATGATAAGAAATCATTCATATAGACTTTCTTGTTTGAAAGATTCAACAGGTCTAAATATGTTATATTCCATTCATTACAAATCTTTGAATCAACCTGGTTCAAGCCCGCAGCTGATTTTATTTTTATAGATGGACACTGAATCTCTACTTGCTCCGGGGACACTGCTGCTGACCCAGTCAGACCAGTCAATTGACGGGAGCAAGAGGACGGAGGATTTCCATAAAGGGATCAATACAGTTATCTATCAATAAAATGTTGTGACTGTGACTCATATTCGCTGTGAGCGCGCTCTTATAAGCCACAGCTTTGTGAAAGAAAAACGCACAGCCCGTCTCCTCTTAACTCTACGTCTTTCTTTTCTCCTCTGTAACATTGGCTTACGCGCACACGCAGACATATGTGCAGGCACGCGCAAACAGTTCGCGGTGCCGTCTCCGGGTTGTTGTCTGTCGGACGGGATGATTAATGAGGCGCGTCTCCGGATACATTCATCCGGGACCCGAGAAGCCCTGGCGATCACCGGGGGAATCATTCACACCGACTCAGTCACCGTCAGCGACATCGGAAAGACACCGAACCAAACATAATTGGTTATTTTAAGATGGACATTTAATACCATACCAATAAGCATAGCAAAGCCTAAAAGCTACAGACCTAAATGCCGTGGCTCCCCTTGGTAGATGTCAATGAAACAATTAAGAGGAAACAATAGTGCAATTTTGAGTAGTCAAATTTCTATACAAACTCGATCCTAATATTACAGGTTGTTAATTATTGATACGCAAAAACCTTTAACCAGGCAAATTAAACCTTTGTATTTAAAGTATCTCTGAGCATACGTTTGACCGTTTGCTGAAAAATAAAGTTGGCTAAAATAGACCCAGACCTGGTAATAGTGGAGAGATTAATCAAAATTCAAATTGCACTGAAACTTCATGAACAACCTGATTTAGACACAAGCATGGGCTCACAATTAGACATCTTTAATGATCCCCTGGGTCACTGACCGCAAAGACCTATAGACCATAACTCCCTCCTACAAATTTGGAGATTCAACGAAACCTCTGTATTTGGATTGATGTTGGGCAAATCCAATGTAATGAAAACAAATACAGTGACCTTATATAATGTTAATCCAGAAAAACCCTGAAAGGATTGACCGAAGAAATGGCCATTTGTGAAATGGTTTGAAACTGTTCACTCAAAAGCACTCTGCCTCAGGATTGAGACGGCACAAAAGACAAGAAACCTCAACCAACACACTGAAATGTAGCCGTGAGAACCCGTGATCAAAAAAAAAAAAATCACCCGACGGTCATAAAATCCCGGGCGCTAAAATCAATAGAGGAGAAATCCCCGGGAGTTAACACGTGTAGATCTAAAGTCAGAAGGTACGCCCGCTCCCGCTCCCTCTCCCCGGTGCAGCCTGGCTCTTTAGCTCCAGAGTGCCCCAGCTGGCACCACCGCGGGCATACCTGCAGCCTCGCCGGTAAGCGCACCTTTCTGCTTCTACTGTTCTGCTCCAGAGACATGCTCGGTCTGCTCCCACATCCAGACTCACCCGCTCAGCGCTGGCAGACACATCCCAAAAATAAAGAATAACAACTTACGGGTTGTTGGCAAAGCTCCGTGCACACAGTTGACGTGGCTGAAAATCCACAAAGCCACCGACAATACGAACGTCGATCCCTGGGCAGGACGGTGCCGGTGCATCTTCACGGCCGGTGCAGACGCAGCAGTGTGGGAGAGGGAACACTCAGAATAAACAACAGGGTGGTGGTAACGCCAGTCGGTCCGTCAGCCTCGCTTCGCAGTTGAGGACTGGCGAAGAGGAGCCTGGCTGCACTGAATCTCTCTCACTCTCATCTCACACTCTCTCTCGCAGTCTCTCTATCTCTCTCGCTCCAATAAAGAGATGATGTAAGGATCGCGCCGACTAACAGGCTGGCCTGTGCTTGCAAGCCCATGCACCGCACTTCTCTCTGCAGCTATCTTGCCTCCTTATTTAGCTATTCCCGAATAAAATAAAACAAACCAAACAACAACCGTCTGCACAAGCACAGGATGAGCACGACTGTAGTGTACAGTATGGCTCCAGTAGTTCAAGAAGGCATGACTGTGCGCAGCTTAAATCCACTGAAGTGACTTCTCCTCTCCAGCGCTCCGGTGCAGTGTCCGTGGTGCTGAACTGAACTTATCTCAGTCTTACTGGCTCTCTCCCTCTCTAATGTCTTTTCTGTTTCTTATAGCCAGACAGTGCCCCCCTCCTTCTCTAGACGGTGGTAGCCTTGTGCATTTGTCTCCTTTCCTCACAACAATACACACAACCTGCAGTCACTCTACTATCTACTTATTTCCTTCTTTTATTTATCAGCTGTCGTTGTCAAAATGCTTTTTGGGCAAGTATGAGGATAAGTAATGTCAGGAGGATTTATTAACAAACAGTCCTTGACATTTGTGGGAAGTACAATTCCCACATAAGCTTGTCGGTGTGTCAGTGGGAGGCTAAATAGGAATACGGTCATATTAGTTACATCACTTTTACACAATTAATTTAGAAATGTATCTTAACTTGTCCTGGCACTTTACAGGGTTGCAGAGAACAGGGTTCATAGTTGCTGTACACAACACAAAAATATAACTATAAAGGGAAAAAAAGTTTTCAGAAATTGCACATTTGTTGAAAAGTCTATCTACAGTAAAGAGACATCTGTCGGTGATTATGCACTTTTATTTTACTTAAGTATAATAACTTGGCACATTTCAGTTTTATTGCTTCCAGATAGCACAAGTTGAGCAGTTTGGGGAGCAAATCTACAATACAGTTATTTTCAAGTAATTCTCAAAATGTCAGGGCTGGATTTGGCTCAGCAAGACATCACACTTGTTATTTAACTCTATAAGTGTTGAATGTGACATACATCTTATGTTCGCAAGAAATGTAATCTGGAAGTATTGAACTAACTTAGGCTCCTTCCAGTTCTGCCATCATTACACAGTAGTGTTCATTATTAAGAAGTGTAATTTTAGTCAAATTAAGTTGCCTCAGACTAAACTATTGGTTCATAGCAGCTCTGATGTCTTCTAATCCTTTTGCTCATTGTAGATGGATGTCCAGCTCTAGAAGACTTTAGTCCTAAATGTTTGGATTCAAAATGACTGCCATGGTAGTTCTAGTGTTGAACAAGAGCTCCCAAGCTCTTAAAGGTGTTTACATTTCCCTATGTGTATGTCTCTGCTTAATTCTTCCCCTGAACTGTAGAGACATGCAGTTCCATACGAGAAATTATGAATTGTACAAATCTGTTTTCCTTCATCATAAGGGGGATTGTGGCTGTGGTGTTTTTGCTATATGACCAATGAAAAGCTATATAGAAACATCCTTTAGAAGCTACAACATGTTTCCATAATAGCTAATTACTTTCCATATCTGCCTGTCCGCATTTGTCCCCATCATGTCATCTGTCAGGAAGATAATATGCGATCATCACCACTGCAGGGAGCATTTTTCAAAATGGTGAGTTGAGATGGAATTCATAACAGACAGCTCCATCAGTGGTAATGTCTCACTTATTTCTTCAAATGAAGATTAATTATGAAAGCAGCATGCTATTATCATGGATGCTCGAAGTAACATCTTTCGTGGTGAATGGAAAATGGACTTGCATTTATATCGTGCCATTCTAGTCTTCCAACCATTCAAAGCGCTTTACACTACATGTCAACATTCACACACACACACACACATTGATGGTAGAGACTGCCAAACAATGTGCCTCCTGCTCATCAGAGTATGAACTAATGCTCACTCATACACTGATAGTAATTTGGGCTTCAGTATCTTGCCCAATAATACTTCGACATGTGGACTGCATGAGTGAACCTCCTGAGCGACAGCCATCCCTGATGTCTGTTCATCCTGTGGTGACCAACATGTCTGTACCAAATGGTTGTTGATATATTTCAATCTGGACAAAAGTAGTGAGGCGGAGGCCTGACAGGCTGAAACTGTCATCCATAGAGCCACAATATCAAGTCTGATAGCCAGGGATATGTCAAGGAATAAGCCTCTATATCTCCTTTTCCTCTCTTTTTTGTTGTCTGTTTCCATCATCTCCCTGCAGTCTCCCTCCCCTGCTTGTTGATTACTCCAGTCACCCCTCCGCTATGCCTTTTGCTGTATGACAGTGGTCTTTCTGAACAAGGACTGCAAATGGCTTTGTCAATATGTCATGCATGGTAATTTACAGCCATCACTCATATCATAAAAAACAGTGATGACTGATGGCCCATAGATTTTGAAGAAAAAAGTTGATGACAGCAGTGATGAATCTCCAGAGTAAGACTGTTTTTTTAAGCAAAACGTTTGTGAGAAAGGAGAGATTTTTACAGACGGCTGCTATCCTGGCAGACTCACTGCTGTCATCTACCCACTGTAGAAGAGAGAGAGAGAAAATAATGCTCTGAGGTGATGTCACTTATAGTGTTTGTGGGATCATTAGAAAAGGAGCCGCCGTTATCTCTCACAAACAATATGAGGAAATGTCTGTGGGGCTAAACAGCTTTCTTAAGAAGAGGTTTCTCTAGAGAGACATGAACAAGGTTTGGATTAGAATCTCTGGTCTGTTTTATGAGAGGAAATTACTGTGGCGATAACAAGCATTATTACGGATCCTGACTCAGCACAATAAAGTGGACTCTTACTAAAGTTAAAACATTAGACTGTGTTCAATACACGCTGGAGAGGAAATGATTGGATGCACAATGAAAGCGATCTAAGGTGAATTCACTGTTGAAATACCCAATACAACTGGAGGGTTGGAGAATGATGTGACCAAATTTTACCCCAGGGAGAAACTCAGGAGTGGTCTATAGAGTGGTTCACTGCTGTGAGGAAAGTAAAAATAAAAAGGAACACAAGCATCCCTCATCAGTTATTGTGTCAAAGACAGCCACAGAATAAGATGAAACTACTTGTGTTACTTAGTGGACAAGCTTGATTTTTTTAGATGTTTCAAAAAAAACATCCTACTGAAAATTAAAAGGGAAAGGAAGTTTCTCATGAGGCTCTAGTTTCTGAAGCGCATGTGATAAGAAAATGTTTTGTCTAAGTGAAACAAACAATAAACTGTGTACAATAAATCCTGATGTGTTTAAACCAAAGGGAATGGCCCATAGTCAAGTCAAATCATGCAAACATAGCAGTCCTAGAGAAAAAAAAGCACTCACTTTAGGTCAGAGAAGGCTCACACATAACAAATTGAATAACTCTAGCAATATCTCAAACACTCCAGAGCAAGCAGATACGGGGTTATTTTTAAAATAGTGTTTCAGGGTTTCAACAGATTTTCCAAACAACATCTCACAAATAATTCCCCTACACAACACTGTAGTATTTCTTGGATTGGATAATAACTGCTAATTTCCATACAGTAGTTATGTCAGACACGGTGATATCATTTCATTAATGCCATATTTCAATCAGTGTTATGGGCAATGACAACTGTAACTTCAAACAGTCACTGTTTCTCATAACATTTCCATACCTTTACATAATTGCCAATATAGATGAAATATATAAAAGAAAAATCTTTCACCTCTGACCGGTTAATAAATGATGAGTGAATCTATTTCACGCTCACCTTCACACAAGCCCTGCATGCACCCTGATTCAGTGTGATAATGTGAAATGGTGGTTCAATGAATTGGGTGGCAATAGCAAAGTTTTGAAAAAAACATTATTACCTGAGCAGGTTTTTTTAACCGAGCTAACCATGTCCTTACCTTGTTAGACAAACTCAGCCAGTCAGCAGGATGTAAAGTTGCTGTCTTGGTGAAGTCACTGTAGTCGACGATGTTGCTGTTGACTGGAAGTTTCCCGACTTAAGAGCAGTAGTAGATGCTACCCTTTTCCTTTACCTGCAAATATACACATAGTTATCAGTAAATAATCTTAACAGGTATGTCCTGGATAAACTGGCACTTTTCAGGGAGAGCTCAGAAGTTCTGAGCCACAGAAAATTTAAAACTAAAATGCCACATTTCCCAAATTAAGACTGTTGCCAAATGCTTTTACACAGCTGGCGCAACACTGTGATGTTACCAAAGACTGTGCACTTATTGACATGGATTTCATTCAAATTACAAACTAGATATTTTTTCCCCCTAAACACTACACAAAAACTTCCTCAAATCCAGGGTCACACTTGAAAAAGAGTTGACATAGCCACATGATAATTTAATAAAGTAATAGCAGTGCCTTCCCATATGAAATAACAGATGACGGCTGTGTTACAGTAATAAATCACACGTACATGCAAATGCTACCTGCTAGGCATTCCCTCCAGGATCAGCACCTCAAAACATTTAAAAAGGGGTTGGAGCCTAAACAAACATTGCAAACGCCTGACGCAAGAGATTGAAAAAGAGGTATAGAAATGAGAGAAGACATAGTAGGCAGAGAAGGAAAAAGGAAGATCAAAGAGAAAGGAGAAGATGTGGGGAGAGGCGAGAGGGTAAGGGATAAGGAGAAAGAGAGGAGAGGGAGAGAATTAGGACTCAAATTAGTGGAAAGCAACACCAATTCATCATGTCATCAAACACCCTGAGAGGGGCTGGATAGAGATCCTCTGGAATGTAGGCACTGTATTTATGGATCATTAAAGTGTCTCGATAAACTTCACATCCTGCACTCAGATGAAAATGTCAAAGTAAAAGCAATTAGAAGTAAGTCTGATAAACGTGTTTTTCAAACGACTGTTTATAGTTCATAGAATTAAATATATATAAAATGCATCTAAGTTAGCAGTGGGTTACTCTCCTTATAGATCTGCAAGCCACTACCTTACTAAAAGAGAAAAACTATAAGTACAGTATAAGTACAGCTGTATTATGACACTATAATAACTTTGTTGTAGCAGACAGAGGTGCTGTGAACGAACAGTAGATTGTATCTTGACCTGTAAGTGCAGTCAAAATACAAATGTAGGCTACTATCCAGTCCATTGCATTACGAGAAACTGTCAAGAACACTTTGATATTATGTCTGTTAGCTGGAACAGTTTCTCACAGGAAAGGTTTTGACTCGTCATGTCGGGAAAAGTACAGGTGTAACCTTACCTAATAACATTAATGCTGGCTCGTTCCCATTTAGATATGCCTATCAGCCACGCCAGTGAGCCAGCGTTCCCACTACCAGAGGCC